AGGTTCTGGATCTGTAACGTAAGGTTCTGGATCTGTAACGTGAGGTTCTGGTTCTGTAACGTGAGGTTCTGGTTCTGTTCTGGTAAAGTTCTGCTGTGTTACATCAGAATGGTGTAGCTCAGATCGTTGCTGCAGAACTTTCTGGTTCTGGAGGTTCTGATCGGATCACTGCTTTTCAGTTTCTGTCTGATAAAATGTGATTTAGAGAACCGGGTTCTTTGTGTTCTGGTGGTTCTGGTTCTGGATCTCCTCGGGGTCTCAGCTGTGGTGCCTTCAGGTTCCACTCAGGCTGAGGAGGTGGGCGGAGTCACATTTCATCACTTGATTCACATCCAAACTGAGCCGCCTGGTGGTTCTGATGGTTCTGATGTTGCTGCTTCTTGTCTTTACTCTTCAGTTCTGCAGGTTCTGTTCAGTTCTGCAGGTTCTGTTCAGTTCTGCAGGTTCTGCATCATGGTGCCATAAAGGCAGGGGGACTGGTCACTTTGTTTCTGTTTGTGTTCTTGGGTCACCAGGCGGGCTGCTGGAACATTTCTCTGGCTCTTAGTAAAATCTAAAAGTCTTTTTGTTTTGTTGTTTTTAAAGATGCACTGGACCCGACCCGACCCGACCCGACCCGCCTCGTCATCCTTTTGATTCCTTCCTTTTTGCCAAATGTAGTTTTTGTTGTGAAAAGGGGCATTTCTCCTGTTTTTCCTTTGTTTTTATACTTTGTCCATGACTTCCATTGTGTTGATGGAAAACTGAGGAAGAAGTTAAAACAGTGAAAAAATGACTAAAAGACCAACTTAAGGCAGCTACATATGAGTGACTACTGCAACGACAAATAAAGAAACAATGGGTTTGTTTTTACACTGTGTGGGTCTATTATTTACACACAACAGGTGTGTGTGTGTGTGTGTGTGTGTGTGTGTCTATTATTTACAGACAACAGGTGTGTGTGTGTCTGTTATTTACAGACAACAGGTGTGTGTGTCTATTATTTACAGACAACAGGTGTGTGTGTCTATTATTTACAGACAACAGGTGTGTGTGTCTATTATTTACAGACAACAGGTGTGTGTGTGTGTGTGTCATTTACAGACAACAGG